AGATAGATAGATAGATAGATAGATAGATAGATAGATAGATAGATAGAAATAGATAATTAGATAGATAGATTGTCACTGAACAAATGGTTGAAAGTCAAGGACTAACTGTAGGGGAGCAAATGCTTGTAAAATAGGATGTCAGCCTTGGAAGCCATATTTTACTTGGAAGCTTTGAGGCTGCCACATTCAGTGCCTGGAAATTTGGGAGGGGGGATTTCATAGTGGAGTAGAATATTCAACACAACAACACTCTTTCTCAGAGAGTCAAGGTCATGTTACCCTGCACCTGGTGAGGGTTGTCTGGAGGTAGGTCTTCAGTTGGGATGAAGTTTGATTGGACCATGTGATGGACGGATGGGTGCAGGGGATGGATTTCTAATTTTCTTTTGGGAAGGGAAACCTGATTATCCCAGATGTGCCAATATGACAACTCAAATAAAATGGACCTTTGAGAAAACGCTCGCCTCGGAGTTTATTAGGTTGGAGTAGATTAGTTGGAACACTAACATAGGAAGGATTCTGTAACTGGAAGCAACCTCGAGTTTCTCAAACACTGTCAAAAATTACAGATTAGGTCTTGAGTCCTCCATAGGTTTGGGAATCCAAACCTTTCATTTCAAGCAGGGAAAGGCGGCATTTATGCAAGATGAACAAGTTATTAGAAATATTTATTTATTTTTTATTCTTATCTCGGCAAGAGATCAGTTGAATGCCAGGGTCATTTACTAGAACATTCCCCGATGACTTAGCCAAAGCAAGAATGAGTTGTGGTTGTTTTGCTGTCAAGCTCAAACAGACTCCGGCAGGAATTATTTGATTTAATGAAAGAATAGGTCCATTGTTGCCGTGTTCAACTCATCCCAGGTCAGATGAAGAGTAAAGCTGTTTGACATTAGCCCCTTGTTCAAAAGGAATGGGAAGGCTCACCTCCACTCCTGGTTGGAGTTGAGCAAACAAAAGACTGGTTTATACTTTTCGGGAACGGATCCAGTCCAGGTCTGATTAATGGACAAGTCACGAGTAAAAGTCACATTTTGAGAAGTGACGATTGCTGGTGTAGAAGTCCCGTGGCTAAAAATACAAAGATGTCCTTCTAGATAGATAGATAGATAGATAGATAGATAGATAGATAGATAGATAGATAGATAGATATAGATATAGATATAGATATAGATATAGATATAGATATAGATATAGATATAGATATAGATATAGATATAAACAGAGCGCCCTCTAGAGGTGTTAAGCTTAATGTAAGCAGTCCTTCACTTACAACTCATTCATTAGTAATCATTCGAAGTTACAATGGCACTAAAAAAGGGGACATGACCATTTTTCACACTGTTGGAAGAAATATCCTTCTGGGTTCAGAAAGATATTTTCCTTCTGGAAACATGGAGGCTGTTTGGACAGATGGTTTAATGGTGGACAGGACCACATAGCGTGGAGCTCCAAAGTGAAAGGGACAATCACATGCTTCAAGATGTGGGGTGAAGGAAAAAAAGAAGGGGCAAGATGCTGAGAGACCCTTAGTTATATACCCTCTGTTGGGCTTTGAATTTGAGCTTGTATTCTGATTGGTTGTCAAACTCCCATGAGGCCATGCAAGAGCAACTCTGTAGGCTGTCTTGAGTCCCAGGCTTGGTTGAGCCTTGCTGAATGATGATGTAATGAAAAGGGCTTTGGGCAATTCCTATTATAGCTCTATCTGGAGTAGATCTTTGTTATGTAAAATAGACTGGCCCAGGTCAGAGTAATGGTCCATTAGCAAAGGTATGGGGGGGGCTGAGTTTCTGTCTCTCTGAGTTTCTACTTTTCTTTTTAGGGGAAATATTCTGTCTTTTTAGTGTATCCTAAAATATTTCATTTTCCTAGGAATGGGGTGGGTTTTAACTCCCAACATTACTAATTTAACAACTGCAGTGATTCATTTAACAACAGTGGCAAGAAAGGTCATAAAATGGGACAAAACTCACTTAACGACTTTCTCACTTAGCAAGAGACATTTTGGGGTCATTTGTGGTCGTAAGTCGAGGCCTCCTAACAGGAAGAGACTTCTACCGTAGTCTAAAACATCTGGAAGATGCTTTTATTGTCTTAAGCTATTGAAGAAACTTGATCAATATGAGAAATTATTGCTGCCTTTTTCTGACAGGTGTGTTTCAAACATGGATATGGGACAAGTTTTGGGTCCATTACTTTTCAGTAAGGCCAAAAATTTGAATAAGAATACAATAAATTTTGTAAATAAAAATGGTGACCATTCACAAAGATTGACTAGGTGCAAATAAAAATACACACTATTACCACAGCAAGGAAGATTATGCAGGAATGGTTAAATTGAAGACTTTATTAAAGAGGAAAATATGTTCTTATTTGGATATCCCTTCTGGAATTTGGGCTTGTGAAGAAAACAAAAATGAAACTTTGACTTTTGTTGCTTCGGAAGATTCGGTGTTCTCGAAATGGATAGTTATATATTAATATGTAAAAGCAAAAACATTGAGGTTGGAGTGTACTGTGCTAGGAAGAGTTGGAAGTCAATTCCCCCTTTTCTTTCTTTTTCTCTTCCCCCTTGTATTTCACACCCCCTTTTCCCTTTCCTTCCCTCAATTTCCCATTTTAATTTCTTTTTTTTTAATTCAATAAATAAAAAATAAAAAATAAACTTAAAAGAAAAGATAACATTGGCCACTTGATGAAGATCGTAACGGAAGTCCTTTTGATACAGCCTTCAACTCTTTTCTTTGAATGCTTGTTTCACAGCTCCTAAGGTCTATCCCAGTAGGAATTGGGCAGGTCTATGGTTGCGATAACCCTTGGACTGGTGGCATCATCATGGTGGCTGTTTTCATTTCATCCCCTCTCATCTTCAGTCATGCTGTGCTTGGCTCAGCAGTTGGAATACCTGCAGGTATGACAGATAGCAATAGCACTTATATACCACCTTCCAGCCCTCTCTAAGCAGTTTACAGAGTCAGCCTCTTGCCCCCAATAATCTGGATCCTCATTTTACCTACCTCGGAAGGAGGGAAGGCTGAGCCAACCTTGAGCCTGGTGGGATTTGAACTGCCAAATTGCAGGCAATCGGCAGTCAGCAGAAGTAGCCTGCAGTACTGCGCTCTAACCACTGCGCCACAGTGGTGCAGAGGGCATTGTATTATTCTGCCCAGCAACTTTCTCCAACTTAGAAGACCCCAAATGCGTTGGACCATATCTCAGAATTCTTACTCATCATGTTGATGGGATGTTCTGAGAAAAAGAGGTCCACAATTCCAGCATCTCAAAAATGCCAATTATGTCAAGAGCTTCACGTTGAGGGGATGTTCTGTGATGGCCATGCATGGAGCAAACTCTGAGATTATCTCATATTTATCGATATTAACATTTGTTAGCAAAAGATGGACAAACTTTGATGGCTGGGGATGACACTTCACTTTTGAGAGGGTGGGCAGAAAATGTGAGGTAATGACCCAAGCCAAACAAGACCAAGGTCTTTGGGGATAACACATTTTCAGGAGAGCTTGGGTAGCTTCTTCTTTTCTTCTTAAGGTAAAGGTAAAAGTTCCCCTCGCACATACATGCTAGTCATTTCCAGCTCTAGGGGGTGCTGCTCATCTCCATTACAAAGACGAAAAACCAGCGCTGTCCGAAGACGTCTCCGTGGTCATGTGGCTGGCATGACTAAACATCGAAGGCGCACGGAACGCTGTTCCCTTCCCACCAAAGGGGTCCCTATTTTTCTACTTGCATCTTTACATGCTTTCAAACTGCTAGGTTGGCAGAAGCTGGGACAAGTAACGGGAGCTCACTCCGTTATGCAGCGCTAGGCATTCGAACCACCGAACTGCCAACCTTTCTGATCGACAAGCTCAGCATCTTATATTCCCATCCAAACTCAACCCCCGCCCAAAAAAAATGAACAACCAGAATTCATTGAAACCAACCCACGACATCTATAGAACATAGACAAAATCATCTAGAGTTAGGGGGACCCTAGGAAAGCCTTTAATAATGCAACCTGGCCATCATCCATGGTGTTGAAGGTGCTGGACCAAGGAGTGGGAAGGTGCACATTCAAGTCCATTTTCAGCTGAGAAAAGTCCCTGGCTGATTCTGGGCCAGTCCCCTTCTCTCAGTCCAGCTACCCCATAAGTTTATCACCGTGTTGAAAGAGAGAGAGATTACGTCCACCGTCAAAACTCTGGAGGAAAAGATGGTGTGTGTGTGTGTGTGTGTGTGTGTGTATCGATAGATAGATAGATAGATAGATAGATAGATAGATAGATAGATAGAT